CATAATAATAGAGAATTTATAATGTATTTGAAAATCGATAGAATCTAATGATTTTTTAAATAACCAAAATTATACTAGAGGTTGAACTCTAAATACTTTAATTTTATTTGGCACCGAAGAGCAAAATTTTCAGAACTTGTGCATTTAAATTATTTTATTTATATCTTTTTTATTTCAAATCAAATGATCTCTTAGTAGGTTATATATAAGTGTTAACATCTTCAAATAAGCACTTTAGAAAAGAAAATTTATAAAACTAAAATTTGAGTCAATAGCAATTTGTGATTCAGACTTTGTTTGAGATAGTTTACTTATTGTTTTCATTTTCAAGCCGCAACTATAATTTTTGTTTGGCCATTATTTTTTAGTTGCTTTCAAAATAGTTTTATGGTAATAAGTTGCATTCTATAATAGCTTTAAAAAATTTAGAGAAGACTTTATGTGCCTCATAATAGATACAATTAAGTAAATATCGCCGCCATTTATTTTTTTTGGAGAAATAGGCTTGAAAGTTTTATTTGGATAAAATTACCTATATTTTATTTGTAGATTGCTTATGAAATTGAAATTGATTCCAACAATGTTAGAAGGTTCAAGCAAGTTGTTGACATATACTAACAAAGTTTGAACAAATTTCAAGTAAGATTCTAACCTATTCGAATAATATTCGAGCAAGTTTCAAACAAGGTATAAAAAACATAATATAGCTTTGATTCATTAAAGTGCAAGTACAACATCTATAACACAATGCAACATAATGTAATTATAATAATTGACTATAAATTTGATACAACATTGTACTATTACCACAATTAGAACTCATCATACTTTAAGGTTTCATTTGGGAATATTTTTTTATTGCTTCTTAAAGCAAAGTTTTAATAAAAAAATTTAATTTTTTAACTAAAACTCTGCTTTAAGAAGCAATAAAAAAAACCGTCCCAAACGAACCTTAAATTTGATAGAGTATAATGCAGTCACAACATCTATAACGCAATATAATTTAATGCATATCATTTTAAAACCAAATAAAGTGATGAAATGAATTAAATATACATTATTTATTGAACTAAATGAGTAGATAAAAAGAGTTAAATATGCATAATTTGCTATTGGGTGATAAAAATTCCAATTCATGATTAAATAACCCTCACAACTCAAGTAATAAAGGAAAACATTTACAAAATGAACACTACTGTTGCATCCAAGGTTTGTGTTAGAATAGTTAGAGTTATGCAATACTAGGATCTTTGCAGATGATGCTATCACTCATATTATCCAAAGAATTTTTTTCCCAATTCAATAGAAAATATATGAGATCTATATCAATTCAAGACCATAGAGCTTACCTTAATCTCCAATAATATACAAAATCCATATTTTAGCCTCTTGAATGAGTCCTTTCACTTTGACTTATTGTACATAAAAATAATTGCTTTATAATAGTTAATGCACAACTCATTTATGGTAATAATATGCAATCTTTAAGTCTTTGGATATCACCATCTCTGCTCCTTCATTATAAAACATAAAGTATCTACGTGTTATAAAAAAGGTTAAAATTATAATATGCAATATAATGCAATTACGTGGTAAAAATTTTCCATGATAAATAGAGCAATAAAGTAGTTACATTACCATCTAACCATGTTATTACTGCATTCAACAATTAAAATCATGTTATGCTACAACTACCCATTAATTTGTCTCCCTCTTTCTCTCTTTGGAGTTATCTTCTAGATCTGCTATCTAAGCCTTGAAGAAAGCCAATTACTCTTCTTCAATTGACAAAGGGGATCAATGACACATGAATCTATTGGTTTATGCCTTTTACTATATGAATTTATGAAATCTCTATTAGTTTATGTACTTCTTATTCATTGTGCTTTTTATTTGATAATCTATTAACTACACATAATTACTATACATAATACGGATGTTCTAAAATATTTTACATATTTCACCACGTTATTGTAACATACAATAACAAGCGATAGGTAAAAATCTCCTACCTCCTTCACCATGCCACTTTCAATCTATATAAGAATGATTTATAGAATAAGTGGCATGGAGCTCCATTCTATCCTTCTCCTCCTCCCCCACCTCAACTCCAACCTTAACTTGAATGGTCAAGTCAATAATTCTTGCTTCCTCATTATCCTCCATATCCCTACTCATCTATGCAACACAATCTATACCTTTATTTTCATACATCTTCTTATATACAATACACTACAGGAAAAACGTCATTTTCCGGCGGCAATATTCGTCGGAAAATGGCCAAAATCCGTCAGAAAATTGCATTTCCGACGGATTTCCGGCGG